TTTATGATTATGAAATAAAGCAATATGCGAAGCTCTTGAACATACCTCATTTCCGAGGTGTCTTCATGCGTGACACTTTACCACGAGACGGTCCACGTAAAAGAGAATGCGCCGTCGTGAACTTAGATATTTCACAAAACAACGGAACTCATTGGGTAGCTTATAAAAAGATAAACAACAACGTTGAGTATTTCGATTCATTTGGTAACCTGAAGCCTCCACAGGAACTTGTTCGATATCTGAAAAACGCTAAAATTTTCTACAACAACGATCCTTACCAAACTTATAATCAAGTTAATTGCGGACAATTGTGTTTGAAATTTCTATACAATAACAACAACAACGATGGATAATAAAACATTATCGGAATTTACATTAGAAGAGTTTGAGAAGAATATTCCGCCGCTGGAATATTTAATAAGCAATGTGAGACCTGCAGAATTATTGAGTATATGGCACAAACTGCCTGCAGAATACACATCCAATTTTGATCTTCAAATACGACTTCCATGCTATGTTCACTACAACAGACCTGATTGGACAACACATTGGGATGGACCGGCTACTGCTCAAGCAAATTGTTATTTCTGTAAATTATCCATTCGAAAATAAACAAAAAAAAAACTTGAATAAATGCTTAGTACACAGCTATATTTTTTCATTCATCATGTCGCAGTTGTTGAGAGTCAATAGCACTACTCATATATTTTCATTTCGTCCTTCAACACCGATAGTGTTGGATCCGAAAAAAGATTATGAATTGGCGCTTAGGTCTTTTACTTCATACAATTCCATACCGAATATTGAAAAAGGAGATAAATTTTATTATATCGACCGGATAGGTGGTGGTGGTGGTCAATTAAAAGTCATCGAGTTTCCGACAGGTTGTTATGAAATTACCGACATAGAAACATTTATACGAACGCAAATGAATCTTGAAAATGAAGTTGCTCCTCCGGATGATTATTTTTCTCTAAAACCTAACAATAATACACTGCAATGTGAAATCTTTAGCAAGTATTATAAAATAGTTTTTACAGAACCGAATAATCTTGGACATCTATTGGGATTCTCGAAAAAAGTTCTTAATCCTGGTCAAAAGCATTCTTCTGATTTACCTGTAAACATAATAAAAGTATCAACCATACACTTTGATGCTAACATTACGTCGGGAGCCTTTGACGGAGACACGCCTGCACACACGATCTACGAATTTGCTGTGACAGCCGATCCTGGATACGCTATAGTCGAAACACCTGTAAATTTACTATATCTACCTGTTATACCGAAACAAGAAATAACCAACATCACAGTGTTGGCTTTAGATCAAGACGGTCGTCCTGTAAACTTTCAAGGTGAAACTAGTACTCTTGTGTTGGAGTTGAGAGCGAAGCGCAGATGGGATTAGTGATTATAAGACATAGTGGTGCTTCCAAGGCAACTTCAGTATTACCCCAAGCACCTAAGCGACGACATCTACTACTAACTACATCAAATATCCTGTTTCTACGCTCACTTGGATATCATGTCAACAACAACAAGAATCATGTACAAAAAGAGAAAAACTGAGGAGGCAGCAGCAGCAGCATCACATACTTCTCCGATGTTTGATCTATATCGATCTCCAGCATTCGATGAATCTATTCGCAAGGCTGAGTATAGATCTTATACGCCGTTCATCAAGTCATTTAATTGTAATGATGTTGTGGAATTTAGCATCAATCAAGTAGATTCGTTCTTTGCAATGAACGCTTCCCTTCTATCTATCAAAGGAAAAGTTGAAATAACTGGAGGAGGAGGAGCAGGAGATGTATCTTTAGCTCCAAACTTTGGTGCCTTCCTATTTGACTCTTGCACTTACAGTGAATCCGCTAGAGAAGTTGAAACAGTACGTGATCCTGGTATTGTAAGTACTGTCCGAGCTTACGTATGTTACAGTGAGGAAGACTCAAATCATATGGCTATAGCTGGATGGAACTATCCTTCAACACCTATAATGGCGTCAACACATAACAAGTCTTTTAGCTTGCTAATGCCGCTTAAACATATTTTCAACATTTTCAATGATTATCCTATGATTACGTGTGGCAGACAAACTCTCAGATTTGTGAGAGCTAGAAACGATAACGATTGTATCATTATCAAGGAAAAAACTGGAACGACGACGACAGCGAAAATAACTATTGAAAGCATGGAACTGAAAATCAAACATATTTACCCGAGTGATGATGTGAAAGAACAACTTTTGAAAGCTATTCAAACTGATAAGCCGATACTTATACCATTTAGAAAATGGGATCTGAATGAACTGCCTGCAATTACCGCAGATGCGAGAAGAGAAATATGGTCAGTTAAAACTAGCACCGCAATCGAAAGACCACGTTTCATTATAGTATGTTTCCAAACCGGTAAACGTGACGTCGCAACCTCAGACCCTACCCTGTTTGATCACGTGAATGCTGCTAGTATTCGAGTATCTTTAAATGGTGAATACTATCCCAACGAACGTATGCAATTGGACTTTGCAAACAATCACTTTACTGAAGCTCATTTCAACTATAGCGACTTTCAAACCAGCTATACAACTTCTTCTTCTCCTCTGAAGAGATGTCTTTTAGATTATACCGCTTTTAAAAATCGCGCTTTGTTTGTTATTGACTGTTCCAAACAAGAGGAAACCATGAAATCATCAACTGTTGATGTTAGATTGGATATCGAAGCCGATACTGGCTTTCCAACCAACACCAAGGCCTACTGCATCATTATACATGACTGCTTAATCGAGTACTTCCCCCTCACCGAAGTTATTAAAACCATCTCGTAAGCAACGAAGGACTCTCAGTTCCGCATCAGACATCATGAGGATCGCGTTTGTTGACATTCAAGGCTTTACAGTTGACGGATTATTCGTACCTAAAGAACTATGTATCGAAATTGGTTTCAAGAAAAGTCATTACATCTTTACACCTCCGCAACCTTTTTCTACATTAAATACTAAAGACAAGAAAACTGTCGCTTACTTGGAGAAGAATTTCCATGGGCTTAAATATTCTTCCGGCGACGTTAAATATTCCAAGTTAAATGAAATAATTAAAAATAAGGTGATATATGCGGCTGACTATGTCTACGTTCGTGGAGAACAGAAAGCAAACTTTTTACTCAAGAAATGTCACATTTTTGGTGTTTTTCCCAACATTATTGATGTTTGCAAGTATGATGGTACACCGTGTGCTACTGGAAACTTTGTTGCTGATTCCAATCCATGCCACACCAACGGACAATTTTCCTGTACCCAGAGAAATGTTGAACGTCTACGCCACTGGTTTTCAAATATCATATTACCTATGTAGTTTTTTCTATTTTCAATAAAATATTAAACGTATTATTGTAGTTTTATTGAAAATACCTCTGGTTTGCGAAATAATTGTCAGAATGTCTATACTATTTTCATTTTGAACGGTATCATCCTGTATAATAATAACAGTACATCGTATACAGGTTATGAGACATTCTGACCGACCGACCGACCGACCAGAGGAGCCCACCACGCTATTTAGGTCACGCCTTGCTATATACGATTTAACGATATACCGTCGGTCCATCGATCCGCTATTTTTCGATGCACCCCTGTATACACGTTGCCCCCCGTAATCCACGCCAACACCAGACAGGTGCGACATCGGCGCCATCTATGCGCGAGATGCCCAACCCATCAATGGCAGCTGTCCAATGACGCATAGATTCCGTTAGGTTTGTACACCGCCAAACAAATCTACGCCATTTATGCGCGAGATGCTCAACCCATCAATGACAGGTGTCCAATGACGTATGACAGATGACGTGTAACGCCATCTATGCGTGAGATGCCCAATGACGCATGACAGGTGTCCAATGACACACAGATTCCGTTTGGTTTGACAGCGCCATCTAGCGGCGGAATCCCCAACTCATGAATACAGATTCCGTCCAACAACCTGTCAATGGCGCGCGACGCCAGCGCCTCTGGTGGCGGATTTTGGAAGTTTTGAGACCGAATCCCCATAGACCATCTACTCGTAGGGCTTCCATGTCGGCCAAAACTAGTGCGAAGTTTGCAAAAAGTATTTTTTATATTTCAATTATTATCGTAATAAGTTTGGATAATCAAAATGCATTGTTGTGTTGTAAACGAATCCATGACTATAAATGGAATACCTTTGACAGTTCATTTATGCATAAGACATGACTTTTGACTCACATGGTAACACATAAACTTATAGGTAAAAAAAGTAATAGATGGCGCACCCAGTATATTCTCCACCCTGTAGTACCGCAAAACGTCATACCTTTTCTCCGAGGAGGCGGGGAAGGAAGAAAGTGAGGACTTACTGGGACTTACGGAACTTAAGGTCTCGGTCATCTTAGGGCTTCGGTATATGACTTATTAAGAAAGCTTCCTTAAGATTGCCACGTATACGCTCTGCAAAGAAAAGTCCCAACTTGGAGGACACCCTGTATACTAGGATGTTTCTGAGGACGGTCTCGGCAACACAATAGCGTACGAGAATGTGCATGGGAATGAGAAATCATCTGAAAGGCTGCACCGGCAGCGGCGTAAAATGTATGTATCCTACACGACAATTAGAACATAAGTCATAAATCAAAACGCGGTGCGCGGTGCGGCGTACAAACGCATACGCGACGACGGAAGATTTATTTGTCACATAATTATATGGAAATATCTATTAGAGTGGATAACTCGTATCAATCACATTGTTAGAAGTTGACTTAACACATATTTTTATCAGTGCGTGGATCAGAGGCGGCACCGATCAGATAAAAACCGGGTGGCGAGCAGCAAGTTGCACATTAGTTGAATTATCAATATTGGAGTATCTTTGGCAAAAGAGAGAGTAAATACAGAAGGTAGATATCATAAATGAAGCATGAAAATTCGGTTTTTATAGTATCAGAAACATTACTTGCTTTGCTAATACAACAAACATGTAGACATTAATTATATGTCTTTAGAAATTAATGGCTGTGACACTGTAGAGAACAAATTGAAAAATTATTTTATCAAGAGTGTTACTGATATAGTAAGCACCATACCTTCAGGTGAAGAGGAAGCTATAACGGCGGCAGTGCCTTTAGAAGAGGAATTTTGGAGGTTTCAAGAAATTACGCAAAACTGTTTTTCAATTGAAGAAAAGATCTACGGGTGACGAAGCACTTACATGCAGCTTGGTGAAGCAATTGTTTGATGTAATTGGCTACCTCCTTTTGAATATTGTAAATACATCGCTCAGAACAGGAAAGACGCCTTCGTTACTGAAGAGGAGTATTATAGTCGCAGTACCCAAAACAAACAATCCACGAAAGCCAGAAGACTTGCGACCCATCAATCTTATGCCAGTCGTCGAGAAAGTTATAGAAATATCAGTGCATGAACAGCAGAGTCAGCATCTACGTGTGAACGATGTTCTTTTTGAGAGGTAATCCGGGTTCAGAAGAAATCATTCTTGTGAAACTGCATGCCAATCTGTACGTACAAAGTGGAAAAAAGATGGAGATGATGGTATAGTGATTGTGTGTGTGTCTGTTGACCTAAAAGAGCGTTTGAAACTACTGACAGGAAATTGTTGTTGAGAAAATGTGAAATGTATGGAATTAAGGGTACAGCCCCCTTGTGGGAGGGTGATTATTTATCCGAGCGGTTACAAGTAGTAGAAATTGAAAGTAAAATATCAAGTAATGCTTCTGTTGATCATGGCGTACCTCAAAGCAGCGTACTAGGCCCATTGCTGTTTATTCTATATGTCAATGATATGTCGAATGTCCTTAGCAATTCTTTTATAAATTTGTTTGCGAATGATACATTAATTTCAGTTAGTGGTTCAGTAAGTAACGAAATTGTAGATGCAATGAATATTGAAATGAGCAAACTTAGTTTATGGTTAAAAACAAACAAGATTAAATTAAATGTGAGAGAAAAGAAATGTATGACTATAGGTTCGAAGAATAATTGCAAGAAATTGGTGGATTTAAATATGCCAGTGAAAATTGAGGGAGAGGTACTTGATTTTGTGGGTAGTGTTAAGTATTTAGGTATTATAATAGATCAGCAACTAACTTTCAACAAACATGTTGACTATATGTGTCGGAAATTAGGCAAAAATATGGGGTATTTTCGTAGAATTTGTGAGAATCTAAGTCCCTGATGTAGAAGGGTAGTCTACAATAAAATAATTTTTCCTCATTTTACTTATTGTGCATCACTTTTGATTATATGCACAAACGAGCAAAAGCAAACGTTGCAAATTCTATCAAATAAATGTATGCGGATTTTGTTAAATTGTAGCAGGTATACCCATATACAGGATATGCTAAAGGCATTAAATTTTTTAAACGTACACCAAATTATTCAAGAGGCAAATTTAATTCTTTTATATAAAATTATAAATAATCAGGCTCCACCTTACCTTGAACAGTTTCTAAAAAAAGATGTGAAATGCTAGGTTACGACATTAGATCTAAAGAAAATTTCCATACAGAAAGATTTAGATTTAAAGGTTTAGAAAAGTCAATGTTTGTTGAAGGTCTAAAAATGTACAACAATCTGCCTGTTAATATAAAAACATCTAGTAATGCTAAAATTTTCAAAAAGAAACTTCGGAGAGACTATTTTGGTTTGATGTGATGACCTCTTTGTAAATTTAACATATTTTTGTAAATAATATTTGTTATTGTTTGAAGTGGCTTAAAGCTAAATAACCCATTTCTATTCTATTTATATCTGTTAACCGAGAGTAGGGCTTCGAAAGATCAAGACCAAGGCCATAAGTTGCCCTGTCTCGATCCTGCAACATAACAGAAGTCTAGGTCTTAGTCTTGTAAAATTATTGAAGTCTTCGCCTTAGTCTTGCTGTTGCAAATTTGGCCAGTATTAAAATACCTCCATATTACTTTTAATAGTTAAATATAGTGACAGAAGTGATATGGAATGTGAACGTTAGAAGCTCTTTCGGTCTACCTTTATCAAAAGTACTTAGTCAATATTTCGAAAATAATAATAATTATAATAATGGAGATAGTAAACGTAAAGATGAATTAATACGTTAAAAGTTCTTGAATTCTATATAATATTGATGGGATATAGTGACAATTACCTCTGACATGTAAACTTAAATAAATAGTATAAGGCTCAAGGTTTGTAATCTAGAATATGAGTTTTTGTATGTATTTAGGTTAATACTAATATTACAATGTCGCAGGGTATCCCATAATAAACTGATACACTAATACGTTACCGCTGAGACCAAAATAAAGCTTCTGAACCTAACATACCTGAGTAAAATATTGACTAACGCCGTTTTAGAGGTTGTCAATTTAATTTAGTAATTTCACGAGACACAAGTAATGTGAAATTTTATATATTTTGTCTTGCCGATCTGTACCACAAAATGAAAATAATAATTGAAAAGCAGTCATATTAATTTATTATATATACAGCTATGAAACAGGCCTTTAGGCCCTAAGCTTGATAAGTTTATTCAACCACTTTTTGTCTAGTGCTCGTTTCTCCTGCTCCTCAAATCTTCCATAACCGCATCCTTCCATATTCCTCTCGGTCTCCCTCTTTTCTTCTTGGTATCCGGAACTCTCCATGCTACATGCTTCACTGTTCTTTCTTGCGGCATTCTTTCCAGGTGCCCAGGTGCAATCTTCTGGCCCTAGCTACTTCTATTATGTTTGGTTCATTATATAGATGATAGATTTCAGCATTAGACCTCCTAACATACCCTCCCTCCACCTTGATCCCTCCATATATTCTCCTTAAAATTTTCCTCTCCCACCTAAGTAGTGTTTGTTCAAGCTTTTATTAACTACCCAGGTTTCTACTCCATACAAAAGGGTTGGCTTGATGACCATATTGTATAGCCTTATTTTGGACACTCTAGATACATTTCTTGAGTTAATATTTCTGTTAAGCATTCCCGCACATTTATTGGCCCTACGAATTCTGTAGTTTACTTCTGTTTCCTCATTTATTTTATCACTAATTAGTGATCCTGAATAGACAAACTCATCCACCTCTTCAAAAATGTTTTTTCCTGTGTTTACCGCTATTTCTAGCCTCGTTTCCGCCTGACCGGTCCCTATTCTCATAAATTTACTTTTTTCCTCGTTTACCTTCAATCCGAGCAAAAAATATTAATTTCTTAAATATGTTTTAAGATGGAATAAGCAATTTCAAGTAACAAAGGAACTACTTTTGTTGAGTAGGTACCATAAATTTAACAGACAATTCTTCAAGTAACTTTATTACATAAAGTTCGTATATGCAAATTCTACAAATTCTTCGTTCTCAAGATACAGGGTGTTAAAATAGTAAATATCTTAAATATCCTTTACCTAATTTTGTTGTAATCTGGCGGTGGTATTTATAACATTAAGCAGTTCCTTTTGTTACATAATTAGTAATAAAAAATTATAAAAGAAATAATAATTTACAAAAGAAACTTTTCCCCATGTTCCTGTGTGGTGGGATATGCAATTAAGTGGATTTTTTTTCTCGAAAACTGAGCAAGATACGAAAAAAATTCAAGAGACGAAAGAAGTGTATTTCTATTTGCTTAATCCAAACAACTTAATAAAAATATTCGTTCAGATCCCGTCGATGGAGAACATTCTAGAATAAGTTAAAACACTAAAACACTAAGTCGCATCAAATGAAAACGAAATATGAAATCAAATGTTCGAACAGGCCTCCGTGTTGTATTTGACAGTAACACCTAATCTATTGTGAAAGCCGGTGTGAACATTTTCTAGTCTAACTCGAATACATTGAACTCAAGCCGTCCGACAAATTTGGTGTTGCCTGTATATTTAGTAATCAGCGAAAACGTTCCACTTAAAAAAATACAACTACGAGCCCCTTCCCACTTCAGATGGCCCACTTCAAGATTTGTACCAAAATATGCCTTTATAAATTAAACATGAAGAAACTATTTACTTCTAAAACAATTTATCTTAAAAACATTTTAGATACACTCTAGTCGTAATAAATACATATTTGAAATCACTTAGACCTATAACTAATAGAACATCTGAACAAATAAACAATGTGCGAATAGATGCGCGAAGTTAACAAAGCAACAATTGAAAGATTACCACTGGGTAACATCACCTTTATTTTTTCTTACGGCTGAAATTTTTTGGGGCATAGTGTGAAAAAAGTTTTCGCAAACATTTGGTGTAAAACAATCCCATATTTTTTGAAGCTTTTGTCTTAGTTCGGTAATTGTACGAGCAGGATGTTGTCGTAGAACATTTTTCATTTCGTGCCACAAAGTTTCAATAGGTGACAGATCTGGCCTGCTAAAAACCCATTTCAAAAGTGGTACATTATTTTCTTTCATACATTTTATAGCCTTTTTTGAGGTATGGCACGCTGCACCATCTTGCTGAAATACAAAATCTTGGCCGGATGGTCAAACATTCTTCCATCACTGGTGAAAGCGATTCTTCTAAAATTGCCAAATATTTGTTTGTATCCACATTTCCATCAATAAAATGAAGTTGTCCTACTCCTTTTGATGACATATCAAAATATTCATTGTTAATATTTTAAACCTATAAAACCCTGCTACATTTTTATTATTTGTGTTTGATATGAAAATAGTTAGGCCAACTGGTGGGAAGGAGCTCGTATATTCGAAAGTACCTTTCTGATAAGAAAGGCATTGCCTAAATAGCTTTATATTAGTCCCTACAACTTTAGTAGATAACTTTTTTTCTAAAATATCGTGCTAAAAAGTCAAGAGGGGGGGTCAATTTACAGTGGGACACCCCGCACACCACTGGCACACAGCTAATTCCTGATTGGCGGAGGTGAGCATTCAATGACATCATGATCACTCATTAGCATGAAGGAAGGAAACGCCCAGCGCTCGTTGTAATTTATGTATTCTCTACCAGCGATTTTTGCTTATAAATGAACTCTGCATAAAGGTAGAGTGTGATAAAAATTCCGCAATAGGACTATTAATTTGTATGGTTACGACGTTTTGAGTTACGACCTTTGTGAAATATTATGCAGTTGTTCTGTTCTGTTGCTTGAATTATTATGTGCCTAATGTATGGAAGGATAAATATCAATAACAGTTACGGCATTTTTCATGACGCAACAGAAGAAACAGTTTGACTTGAATCATCATAAGTACAATATCAATACTTAAAATATCCTTAACTACCATCTGCATGATTTGTTCTCATCACCATGTCGTCTACGCGGAGCGATTTGTGTTTCTTAAAATGAATGAAATACTAATTTAATATTTCTCATTTGCTTAATTATTTTTATTTTTTGTTTATTTTTTCAGTTTCCTGATAGACATGATGCATGAAAGTTGCGAATGGGCTTGAAGCAAGATGGAATTTTCCTTTCTGTTGTGGTACCATTGATGACAAACATGTCTTGATCGAGGTTCCCCCACATACTGGGAGCGAATACTTCAACTATAAAGGCTCCTCCAGCGTGGTACTAATGGCAATTGTAGATCACAATTACTGTTTTTCCTATTTTAAAGTAGGGACAAAGGGATCTAACTCAGATGGTGGTATTTTTCAAAACAGGGAAAGTTCAGGAGCTCTAGAAGAAGGATTACTACCCATTGGTTACTTTCTAGTTGGTGATGCTCCTTTTCCACTTATACTATACAGAGTGACTTTGAAGTTGAGTCATTAATTTTCAGATAATGATTGTAGAAGGAAGATAAACCAAAATATGTGTGTAAAAATAAAAAAAAAATAAAAAAAAATGTTACCTTGTTTTATAAAGTATCCTCCCGACAAGTATTCCGGTGCGGACCTGTATTTGATCGTGCGGTCTTGGAGCACCGGCATGCCCTCCCCTGTGATGTCTTAAGTCACCTGATTCACGAGCCCTTTGTACTACATTAACAAAGGCACGAGGGGTTGGTTGCACTCGATTGAGAAACCGATTCGCACAAATCCGTGATGCCGCGGCAGCATTTTGTAAAGACTCCCCCCCGGTAAATAAGAATCATGTCCACAAGTTGAGCATTTTCGTAAACATGTGCCATTTTTTATTTCGTTTGAGCCACGCAACAAACACCACTATTCACTCACGCGTTACCGAATGACGAAAAACATCGAGAGAAACGTTTCAAATTCTTTCACTTTTTTGTTTCCGATGCGATGAACCGATATATCCGTTGTTGCCAAACACGAGCACATAATATTATTATTGAGACAGGGCGGTACTCAAACTTCTAAAGGGCTATAACTTTGTTACTTTAATTTTACCAGAAAAATGTTAAAGGAAAAAAACATTTCTTTTGATCAGATCTACTCACTGTTGAAATAAACGACTCAACTTCGAAGTCACCCTGTATAGTAGATACCGACTACCTCTTACCGATGAAGAAATATTTTCAATTATCGGCTTAGTCGTACCAGAAGAATAGTGGAAAATGGTTTTAGAATCTTAGCAAGTAGATTTCTTGTTTTTGAAACAAAAGTAAAGATAAAAGTTTCCTCTGTGAATAAACTGGTTAATGCTGCAACTGTAATTCACAACTGGCTACGAAAAACGTCACCAGATCAATACTTCAATAATGCACCATTGGTTGATTGTGAAAACCAACACACTGGCGAAATAATACCTGAACAGTGGAGATAAGAGATATGAGAACTGAGAAACATACAGGGGGGGTACCTGAAAGGAGGGCGTCGGACATAACAAAACACATGCGAAATAAAATGAGGGATCATTTTGTTTCTGAAGAAGGAGCAGTGGCTTGGCAACGAAATTTTATAAATTAGTTACCAGTTATTAAAAAAAATACACTTTTGACTTACTATGCTTTTCGTTTCATTTTCAGCTGTGTAGCTATCCATTATTTCTTCCATTTATCGGAACCACTTGGAACGTATACTAAGTGACATATAAATCCGAACACCCAGTTTAAATGGTTTTATTTTAATAAAAGTTGGTGAATGTATTTATCTTACTGCAAATAACAAGCGAAAAAATTTTCAGCCTTATCAGTTGGACATTCCGGTTTTTATACTGCTTTTTTTTAATTCACTAACGCTCTAAAAATGAATATTTCAGCCACAGTAAAGAATCAACGTTGGCGGATTTTGGTTCTTGACATCCTTTACGATCGGTTACGATGCCTACAGTACGGAGACCTGTACGATTCCGTCAACTTAGTGAGTTTGATAGGGGCCGTATAGTGGGACTTCGGGAAGCTGGGCTTTCTTTTCGGGCAATTGCAGTTAGAGTGCAAAGAAGTGTAGACACTGTGGTTAGGCGTTGGCAGGCATGGCTTCGAGAAGGCCGTACGCAAAGAGCAAAGGGCACTGGACGCCGCCGTAGAACAACAGACCGTGAAGATCGCCGCCTAAGATTATTGGCCGTAAGGGACCGTTTCTCCACTACCAGGTCCATTGCAAATTAATGGTTTGCAGAACACGAAAGACCTATTGGCATGCGAAGTGTTTACTGACGAATGAGAAGTTTTGGCTTGTTTTCATACCGGCCACACTGGGTCCTCCCTTTAACTCGAGAACACGGACGTAATCGCCTTGAGTGGTACAGACAACGGTCACTCTGGGATCAGGAATGAAACAGTATTGTCTTTAGTGACGAGTCTCGATTTTGTTTGGGCATGCACGATGGTCGTGCCAGGGTTAGAAGGCGACGTGGTGAAAGGAGGAATCCACAGTTTTTTGTTGAAAGACATGTTCGTCACACTGTTGAAGTTATGGTTTGGGGTGCTATAGCTTATGGTTCCAGGTCACCTTTAATCTTCATCAGAGGTAACATGAACGCGCAGCGTTATATCCACGAAGTTCTAGAACCCCATCTTTTACCCTATCTTGACACCCTGGCAGATCCAACTTTCCAACAAGATAATGCCCGACCACATGTTGCAAGAGTCACAATAGACTTCTTTCAACATAATGATGTCACATTGTTACCATGGCCACCAAGATCCACACATTATCAAAGGTCAAAGGGCTTTAAAGCAGTGCAATCATTTTGAAATTTTTATCATTTACTTATTATGCTTCATTAAGTACTTATACAAAATTTTATTAAAATAAAACCATTTAAACTGGGTGTTCGGATTTATATGTCACATAGTATATATATCATCCAGTTTACCTCCTGATTTCTTAGACTTTTTAACCTTCAACCCTTACTGATTATAGGTTGTTCTCATTATCTTTATTTTTTGCTATAATTCTGCCACCCCAAAACCTTCCTTTTCCATCCTGTTCACGATGTCCTCTTCAGCTGCTTTTCGCATGTTTTTATTGCGATAATTCACTACTCTTCTTCCATAAACACTCTTTTTCACTATAGAGTTCAACAAAATGCATGATTTCTTCTTCTGACCACTTCACCTTGTACAAATTTAACCTTAATTCACAATTTGTAGTATACCGAAATCACCAAAATGATTTGCTTATCTGTGATCAAAATGGGTAAAAAATCTCAAAAAATACATAGTACAAATCCACAATCCATGCGCAAAGACTTATTTGCTCTTGCTTTTTCTGTTTACATTGTTAAAGCAGACGATCAAGTTGACGATCCAGTGAAGTGGGGGTAGCAGTCAAGTAAACTTACTTGATCACCGGACAGAACCACTTGACTTGCCTCGTCACTTGACGCAAGTCGCTACTTTACTTGACCGAAGTTGTTTAGACGATGCAAGTAGAAAAATATACTTGACTTTACTGCTCAACTTGACCGTTTACTTGACCCGTGTAAACCCGGCTTATAAGAGTAAATAATGTGCACCCTACTCTTCTCTAATCGAGTTAAAGAATTAAAGCGCTTCTCACTTGTTATTCCCGGCACGGTAATTGTGGACATTGTACCTTATTGAAACGATCTAGACGGCGCTGAACCGACGGCGGCCAATCAAAATGCCATAAAAACAAATGAAAAACAAACAAAATTAAAAGTGGCGCGAGCCACTGTTAAAAATTTACGACCTTATAATCAGTTTTTTATGGCAACAGTTCTTAAATTATTCATTACTGGCATCGTCTACTACTGAGCAATGAACGGACAGAGAGTTTGGTATGATTTAACCCATTTGACCCGTCATCAAATCTTTGTTTATTACGAATTGGGAACAATCAAAAAGTGATAGTTGTGATATAGTACCGTATAGGGTGAGTTTTGTAATCACTCTTGACAGTTTTTAAATTACGATTCGGAAACTCTACCATTAACACAGTCAAAATAATATACTAAGTGATATATAAATCCGAACACCCAGTTTAAATGGTTTTATTTTAATAAAATAAAATAAAATAAAATTGTATAAGTACTTAATGAAGCATAATAAGTAAATGATAAAAATTTCAAACTGATTGCACTGCTTTAAAGCCCGTTGACCTTTAATAATGTGTGGATGCACCCTGATGTGCTACGCATTCTCCAACGCGCCTAGGCATGCTTCTGATCAGGTGGTCAATGTCCTCTTGTGGTATCTCATTCCAGGCAACCACCAACTCCTCTCGAAGTGCTTCTAGAGTCTGAGGAGGACGTTGCAAATTGAGCAATCTCCTACCCATCATATCCCACACGTGCTCAATTGGGGATAAGTCGGGAGATCTTGGTGGCCATGGTAACAATGTGACATCATTATGTTGAAAGAAGTCTATTGTAACTCTTGCAACATGTGGTTGGGCATTATCTTGTTGGAAAGTTGGATCTGCCAGGGTGTCAAGATAGGGTAAAAGATGGGGTTCTATAACTTCGTGGATATAACGCTGCGCGTTCATGTTACATCTGATGAAGATTAAAGGTGACCTGGAACCATAAGCTACGTATAGCACCCCAAACCATAACTCCAACAGTGTGATGAACATGTCTTTCAACAAAAAACTGTGGATTCCTCCTATCACCACGTCGCCTTCTAACCCTGGCACGACCATTGTGCATGCCTAAACAAAATCGAGACTCGTCACTAAAGACAATACTGTTCCATTCCTGATCCCAGAGTGACCGTTGTCTGCACCACTCAAGGCGATTACGTCGGTGTTCTCGAGTTAAAGGGAGGACCCAGTGTGGCCGGTATGAAAACAAGCCAAAACTTCTCATTCGTCGGTAAACACTTCGCATGCCAATAGGTCTTCCGTGTTCTGCAAACCATTCATTTGCAATGGACCTGGTAGTGGAGAAACGGTCCCTTAAGGCCAATAATCTTAGGCGGCGATCTTCGCGGTCTGTTGTTCTACGGCGGCGTCCAGTGCCCCTTGCTCTTTGCGTACGGCCTTCTCGAAGCCATGCCTGACAACACCTAACCACAGTGTCTACACTTCTTTGCACTCTAACTGCAATTGCCCGAAAAGAAAGTCCAGCTTAGCGAAGTCCCACTATACGGCCCCTATCAAACTCACTAAGTTGACGAAATCGTACAGGTCTCCGTACTCTAGGCACCGTAACCGATCGTAAAGGATGTCAAGAACCAAAATCCGCCAACGTTGATACTTTACTGCGGCTGAAATATTCATTTTTAGAGCGTTAGTGAATTAAAAAAAGCAGTATAAAAACCGGAATGTCCAACTGATAAGGCTGAAAATTTTTTCACTTGTTATTTACAGTAAGATAAATACATTCACCAACTTTTATTAAAATAAAACCATTTATACTGGGTGTTCGGATTTATATGTCACTTAGTATAATTAGATTTGCAAAAATTCCCACAAAGCGGGAAATTGGTACAGCCCTTGTTTTATTCGGGTAAAAATGTAGTAGAACCTCAAGATCATCTAAACAACATAATCATTCGCAGCAGACACTCACGCATGTGAGGCATGATGTTTTTTCACCAAAACCCATTGATAAAGTCTGCAGGTATAACATAATAGAACGTTGCCTACTATAATAATCCAAGGAATATCTCACACGAGACAGTTTATAGATACCTCAACAACCCTTACCTAAGAAACTACGTCAAACAATAGACGCCGCGATATTAAAGTCAAGAGGAATCGCGTGACAAACATTTTGTTGCGTAAGACAGTAGACCATACATTCGACCAAGTTCGGAAACACAAGACCGCGTCACTATGGACAAAATTAAATCGTGCAACTTTAAGACCAACCAAAATTACCAGTTTTCTACAACAATCGAGTTCTAAATCAATTTTTGGGTCAATTTAAAATTCACAATACCAAGAACTCGTTATTTTCTCCTTTCTTTCCTTTTTCCCCTTCTATCTCCCTGACTTTGTCTGACACCTGAAAGACCTGCTGACCAAGAGCAAACATACTATGACGAATACAGATCAAATGCAACGACAACTTTCTTTCTATATTACAGGTCCACCGATGGGCTTAAAAATCAAAACCAAAGAGCAGTTCATTTTCGGCTGGTCGGAGTCCAGACCACCGCGGACTTGATCTGGCACGAACTCATCTCGTCAATGCGGCATCTGCTGGGAAAAAGTTAGGCCATTTGCTTGGGGCTGAGAAGTCATTTTTTCACATGACCTCCTCACTCTGTACAAGGCCTAGATAAGACCTAGCCTCGAGTACTGCTCACGTGTCTGGAGCTCCGCCACTCCGACTAAACGATCGATGACTCTTCTCTCACGGCCAACCTCGAGACCTTTAGCTCTCTTCTGCCTCTACGCCAGTGGGTTTTGCTCCTCAGAGCTCTCGTCCTAGATGCCGCCGCACCAGACAATGTCAAATTTGGTATATCTACAACTGACCGATACAACCGCTTCTTTGTCCCTAGGGTATCGAGATTATGGATCAATCTACACGAGGAGGCTTTTCCTAGTTCTACTAGCTATAGGCAGTTCAAACATCGCAGTAACAAAGTTTCTTTAGAAAATCCTTGGCTCTGATGATGCCGTTTTGTATTAGTCAAGAGATATTCTAATAGCTTCCTAAAAAACCTTTCGATTATTAATATTGTGTCAAAAATGAGAACCTGTTTAAATTCCCTATCCCCAAAAATGATCAGCATATAGCCAACAATTGACAGTGTCTTTGAAATCCGAAACTTCTTTTGGACTAGACTTGAAAATTAATAAGAAGAAGCTGACAGACACCGGGAATAAAGGTTATCTTTAGAACAATATAATGGGTGATTTTTTTGCTAGTATCTTTTTGGCAACACTGTTTTTGACAGATCACGCGTGAATCGTGTCTTGTGTCATTATCAAACTTGTTCAGTTTGGTCTATAATTTAACCGTGAATCGACTTACGAACGAACAACGCTTGCAAATTATTGAATTTTACTATCAAAATTCATTATCGGTTAAGAGAGTGCATCGAGCACTGCTTCCAATTTATGGGCAACTTGGTCAGCCTACTGAGGGAGCTATTCGGAAGCCTGTGACTAAATTTCGAACTCAGTTTACATTATTGGACATTAAACCACCAACACCCAAACGTAGAGTGAGGACTGAAGTAAATATTGCGGCTGTATCCGCCAGTGTTAGTGATGACCGTGAAATGTCGATTCGCCGCCGTTCGCAGCAATTGGGCCTCTGTTACTCCACTACGTGGAGAATTTTGCGACAATATTTGGATGTAAAACCTTATAAGATACAGCTGGTGCAAGAATTGAAGCCACACGACCTCCCACAACGTTTCCAATTTGGTGAATGGGCGCTGGCAAAGTTGGAGGCAGATCCATATTTTTATCGAAAAATTGTGTTCAGCGACGAAGCTCATTTCTGGTTGAATGGGTACGTTAACAAGCAAAATTTCCGCATTTGGAGTGAAGACCAGCCAAAAGCATTGCAAGAGCTACCAATGCATCCCGAAAAAATCACTGTTTGGTGTAGATGATGGGCCGGTGGATCATTGGGCCGTACTTCTTCAAAGACGACAATGGCCGGAACGTAACTGTGAATAGCGAGCGCTACCGTGCGATGATAACAAACTTTTTTTTGCCCAAAATGGAAGAGCTGGACTTGGCTGACATGTGGTTTCAACAAGACGGTGCCAGATGCCACACCGCACACGAAACAATGGCCCTATTGAGAATCGAGTTCGGTGAACAGTTTGGGGCCCGTCAATTGGCCGCCTAGATCGTGTGATTTAACGCCGTTGGACTATTTCTTGTGGGGCCATGTTAAGGCTAATGTCTACAGGGATAAACTAGCAACGATTGACGCACTGGAAGCCAATATTGAAGCATTTATTCGTGAGATACCGGCCGATATGTTGGAGAGAGTGTGCTAAAATTGGACCTTGCGCATGGGCCAACTAAAGCGGAGCCGCGGCCAACATTTACATGAAATAATCTTTAAAAATCAAATTATGTCGACCGTTCTATCGACTCAAATAAAGATTTAATCGTTTTTTTCAAATTTTTTGTGTTTTTTTTTGAAAATCAAATCCGATACCCCTTAAAAAATCACCCGTACTTGAGGAGGATTTTCCCAGTTCTAATAACCGTATGAGGTATCTTTAACCTCCTTATAGCTGCCGCAGTGGCCCTGTATTTAGGCTTCTGCTTGCGCGGCGGCTTCTGTATAAAAACATCTTGATCCGCCTTAATGTAATAGCGCTGAAAAACTCATCCAATGATACCAACGAACAACTTCAGACCAGAAGCTCATATTATATCTCTATTGCTTATTAATAAGGGGAAAGCATCGATATCAAGTTGATTAGAATTCACCGACCGGTCCCACGGCGAACGCAGATGTTCACCATGACACGGCCAGTCACTTATTAGCAATTTTCCCATAAATTTTCCGCTGTGGACTTTGCATTTGAATATGGTTAATAGACGAGGCACGTACTTGAAAAATGCATAAATGCCGTGACACGTAAAGACGTGTCTTGTCACTCTAATAGGACCTCGTATGGCTCTGTTACGTTGCAGGCTGCTGGATAGCGTTCTTTTTTCTTTTTCTCCTTGGTCAACATTAAAAGCCGTAGAATGCACCGGGCAGTATTAAAAGCAAGAAGAAATACACATTTTTCCTCAAATTACAAACTCACTAGACAAGTCAAGATAGCTTGCTTCCTAGTGCAAGGTTATACGTGTTTCATATACAGGGTGACCAATATATAACTGACTGATTTAAATTGCGCGTTATTTTTGCTACACGCATTTCAGTAGGTGGCACCGTAGTAGTTGTTTACAGCACATACAGTATGTTCAATTCATCATGGAGCGCTACACGGTCCCACAACGCGTCTGTATTGATAATTAAATAATGAGTCGATTCGGTCGAAATAGTGTGCCCAGTGTCAACACCGTTGGTGCTTAAGTTTGAACAAATAGGTGAAGTTAAAGACTTGCCAAGGTCAGGCCGTGTTCGAACTGTTCGTACTCCGGAAAATATCGAGAGAGTTCGTAAAAGTGTAGTGGAGCGCCCTGAGACCTCTACCAGACATCGTTCTCAAGAACTGGGTATTCGTCGTACGTCATTATGCACTATTTTAAAAAATACTTCCATTTTCGGCCATACAAAACTCAGTTAACCCAAGCCTTACAGCCTAATGACCATGACAGTCGCCTACAAACTTGCTGACTTTAAATGAAGTACTAAGCATATGATCTATTCAACTTTCATGTACATATATAAATGTAACTATTTTTGATGCATTTATTTTGTGTAAAATATTGCAGATCCAGGCTGATGTGTGTGTGTGTGTGACCTGTGTGGTTCCAGCAGGATGGGGCGACCGCCCACACAGCCCGAGCATCCATGGACGTTATTCGCCCTCTCTTCCCTGGTCGCCTTATTTCCAGGTTTGGCGATGTTCATTAGCCTCCTCGGTCCCCAGATTTATCCATATGCGATTTTTTCTTATGGGGACACCTCAAGGCTAGAGTATACGCGAACAAGCCCCGAACTCCGGACGAATTGAAGGGCGAAATTCGCGTGGAAGTCGCCCAAGTTGAGAGAGCGATGTTGGAGAGAGTCTACGCGAACCTCCAAGAACGCCTCCAGCACTGCATCAACGATTTCGGCCACCACATGCCTGATGTGATTTTCCACACTTGACTGTCCGAAATGCTATTTCCTTGTGAACCTGATTCCATCAATAAATTTGTTTTCGAGTAAAAATGAACTATTTTATGATTTTAAAACCGTCCATCCTCTCTGCCGCACCCTGTATTATATGGTATGTAAATAATACATGTTTATCCTATACTATGAAAAAATATTTATATACATAAAAAACATTTATTGAATATTTTATAAATAATGGAGTTTTAATATTTCCCATTGATTGAAAAGTAAATATTTAATTAATATTACAAAAGAAAAATTGTATTAAAAATATTTATATCAAGAATATTGATCAAACATTTATTAGAAATATTATAATCCAAATATTTATTAAATATTTGTTTAGGGTAACAAAATATTTAAATAAGGTATAATATTCACTGACCAACAGCCAAAAAATATCCTAAATAAAATCAACAAAATATTACTATTTTTAATGTGCTAAAACCGGAATGAAACTCATTTTTTCAATATTAGTTCATGTTTTAGAGATACGGTAATTATATGTGTTCCTGCTGTGACAGTGTTAATATACTGTAATTCACAAGAATGCGCGTGCTACATTTTTATATTCGGCAAGGAAAGATGATGTAATCGGCATGATTGTGTTACGTTATACATACGTGTACATTATATTGTTTTATATTAGCCATTTTTTCCTCAGTTGGCTGACAGCGTTCATGCAATATGTCTCGAAAGTGTGTAAACAATCCAGATCAGTTTTGTTGCGTGTGTGGTGATGTGACATGTGCGTCTCAGAGACGGTCTATTACTCCACTAATAACAAAGGCATATCAGCTTTATTTCGGTTGTAAACTAGATGATCAAGACAAACAGTGGGCACCCCACATCTGCTGTAATACATGTGCTTCAAGTCTGAGGAGCTGGTTAAATGCAAAAAACGGTCTATGCGCTTTGCTGTCCCAATGGTTTGGAGAGAGCCTACAAATCATATTAACGATTGTTACTTTTGCATGGTACCTTGTGTTGGACAAGCCACAGATATGTCCAAGAAAACAAATCTGTTATTAACTACCCAAACATACCATCTGCGATGAGACCTGTGCCTCACAGTGACGAAAATCCTATTCCAAAACCCCCAGAATCCTACACTTGCGAATCAGAAAACGAATCAGATCATGGCGATCGAGTGATTCGTCAGGAAGAAGATATGCCATCAACGTCAAGAGATCCTGATTTTATACCGAGCACGTCATGCCACCAACCTCACAAAATAACACAGTCAGAATTAAATGATCTTGTAAGAGATTTAGAACTTCCAAAATGTAAGGCAGAGTTACTTGGATCAAGACTGCAGCAGTGGAACTTGTTAGAAGACGATGTTTCGGTATGTGTTTTTCGTAAACGCCACAAAGCCTTAGAACCATTTCTCAATATGGAGAATAACTTGGTTTTCTGCAGTAGCATTAACGGCTTACTGGCGGCTTTAAATATAAACTATAACCCAGAAGAATGGAGATTGTTTATAGACCGTTCAATATTGAGTTTAAAGGCAGTGTTATTGCATATTGGAAATATTTTACCATCTCTTCCTGTAGGGTATGCAGTTCACATGAAAGAATCATATGACAATATGAAGTACCTATTGACATGCATAAAATACGATGAGCACCAATGGCATATTTGTGGCGATTTGAAAGTTGTTGCACTTTTACTTGGGCTGCAGCTAGGCTACACAAAGTTTGTGTGTTTTTTGTGTAAATGGGACAGTCGGACAAAGGCACTTCATTACACCAGACAAAACTGGCCTGTTCGTCAATTCCTAGAGCCAGGTCAAAAAAATGTACAGCATATGCCATTAGTAGATTCGAAAAAAAATGTATTACCACCACTGCTTATCAAGTTGGGCCTGATGAAAAACTTTGTCAAGGCATCAGATAGAGATGGGTCAGCTTTTCAAAACCTGCGTCAGAAATTTCCAAGACTAAGTGAGGCAAAGGTTAAAGAAGGTATTTTTGTTGGGCCACAGATTCGAAATATTTTGAAAGATACACAGTTTGAAAACACTTTAACAGGTATTGAAAAAACTGCTTGGAATGATTTCCGTCTGGTGGTCACTAATTTCTTGGGAAATAGAAAAGCTGCCAACTATAAAACCCTTGTCAAAAATATGCTGTCATCCTATCAAAAGATGGGCTGTAATATGTCTCTTAAGATACATTTCCTACACTCACACCTGGACTTTTTTCCTGATAATTGCGGAGCCGTAAGTGATGAGCACGGCGAACGTTTTCATCAGGATATTTCAACAATGGAAAAAAGGTACCAGGGAAAGTGGAATCCTTCCATGCTTGCAGACTACTGTTGGACTCTTGGTAGAGATGCTCCAGAAACGATCCATAAAAGAACAGCAAAAGGACAGCGCATATAGTGATTCTTATAAGTATATGAATCTTGTTACTTTTTTTAATATATCCTTAAAAATAAAAAGTTTTTTTCTAAACCGCAACTAATTTTTTTATTTAATTGTCATTTTTGGATTCAGCGCCCCAAAATTAACAAAGAAGAGCACTTTTCCCACAAGATACAATTAAAAAACTAAAATTTGTTGTCCAGTATTATTAAGAATTGAATGAATATTTAGTGAATTTTTCTTGCTATCTAGGAGCTATTATAACCAGTTATCAAACATTGTCGGCAAGCAGTTTTATACTAGAGCAGAGTTCCAGAGGAATGGGGATTCCGTATTTTTACACGCTCATTGCTGCAATCTGAGGAAACGTGAAAAGCCCAAATAATGCATTGCTGGTTCTAATACGACCTACGTATTTTTGACATCATTGCAGTACATGGAGGATTGTACTAGAAGTTGTTTCAAAGGCATACGGTTGATCTACTTGACGACATTTTTCCTGTATTGTGTTAGTGATATATGATTTTCCTTAGGGTAGGATTTCAGTAAACTTCATTCGATATTCAGATAAATTAGGTTTTTGTGCATAAGGTACTAAAAAGCCCATCTACCTCTATAGTAAATTGGTAACTAGAGGAATCATTAATCTTAGGGATCTGAGGCATAATAATAATCTGATAACGCCTTTGCACTACACCGCACTTTCAATGTTGTGAGGTTACACAACTCAACCGACCCTGCCTGGAGAAGCAGAAGTGTAGTAACACTCAGGAAGCTGGTTAAGAAGCAGCTGTTCGATGTGTCATAATTAGTTATTATTATCTTTATGTTTTTTTTGTGTTGTCATCCGTTCAGTATTGGTTCTTGACTGTTTCCTTTTTGGTAAACCAATATAGCACGGATTTATCAATTGATTCTATTTTTTCCCTTTATTATTAGCTCACATAGTTGAAAGCCAGATCGATGTATTTATTTTTAGGTTGCATGTATGTGACTTTGAATTGAATATACATATTTAAGCACTCAATAGGGTTGGGTGTAAGAGTAGCCAGCTGGCTGATCTTCGCCCTATTGTTGTGTTGCTAATAAAGACATTTATTATTATTATTATTATTATTATATAAATAATAATATAGTGCGATCCAAGAAACAAAATATAAACTGAAAGTTAAAAATCCACAAAAGGCAGTTTTTACTGGCGAGGAAGTATTGTATACTATATCTATCTAAAACTGTAATGACTCATCGATGTTCACGTGAACATCACTTAACTACCAGTAGTCGGCTGTTCATAGGCGGGGTATGAATGTTTAACATGGGTGAACTAGTTTTGTCACATGCTTAATAAAGAGTGGTTTGAAACATATTGTAAGTCAAAAATTTGGGAATTACCTTTATTCATCGTCGATTCCACTTACATCTGACAGTAATAAACTGTCGCTATCGCTTTCCTCGTTAAAATTGACTATAACTGGCTCTATGATGGTGTCGATGTGGTGGTCAAGCTGCCACATTTTTGTTTCTTCCTTCACAACATGACGGATAGCATTCTGCCAAGCTTCGGGCGTTACTAGCTGTATGGAAGTCTCAAGTAAAACCTTAACGTCTGGTAATTTGAAGGTTGTGTTATGGCGCGCAATATAACCCTTCCCTTGAGCCCAGATGAGATCTATTGGGTTCAGTTCACAGTGGTAGGGCGGTAACCGCTGCACAGTGACACCACATTGACGGGCCATCTCATCAGTCACGTAACTAATGTTCGCAGGTTTGTGCTGTTTAATTTTTTCATACAATTCCGCTTTCACACATGAATCGTCAAACGGGATTCCTTTTTCGCGCAACCATTGCTGCATGTCACTTTTTCGAGATCCCACAGTCGGTACATGTTCGGCTCGACGACTATGGTAGGAAGCATTATCCATGACGATCACAGAGTTGGGCTCAACTTGCTGAAGCACCCCTAGAAACCAGCTCTCGAAGCAGTTGGCATTCATTTCGTCATGGTAATCACCTCCTTTCTTAGAGACGAAAATCAAGTCACACTCTTCTAAAAAGCCACTATCGCTACCAATATGAGTTACGATCAATCTTTGACCTTTTCCTGACGGTCCACGAAGACCTGTTGACAAACCTTCAATGCTTGCTTGTCGGTTACTCACTACGTTTTTGTCTATCCAGGTTTTTTTAACTGTGTGACCTGCATTTACCCATGTCTCGTCCAAATAATAGATTTTTCTGCTTTGTCGCCTATATTCAATCATTTCGCGTAGGTATTTTCGACGCCAGGCGACTATTTCAGGTCTCTCTATCAATACTGACTTCCGATTACGCGTTTCGTAACGAAAATTCATTTCGTGCAGGGATTTCCTCATTACCTCGACGCTCATTTGGGGTATAATTTTATTTTCCTTGATCGCTGCATGTACAGCCTTGAGGGTTGGTATCTCATTGCTAAAGAAGAATGAATGTACGGTTCGCCTTAACGCCATTTTGCTATCGTCATCCAATTTAACGGCCTTTCGTCTCTTCAAATTAAACTTTGGATCAGTAGTAGCTCCAGTTTTCTTCTTTTCATGCACCACCCTGCGAATGGTCCACTCTGGAACGCCTGTCATACTTTCACAACGCGCGAGTGCATCTCCCTGCGACATAGTTCTGTTCAGATAATTGAACACGTTGAGCACGATTTCTTTCGCGTCCCTGTTCAGTGCTTTACGAAGCCGTCTACTTGTTCCCTGGCTTTCAGTACTTCCACTCGTGCCATTTGTACTCTCCATGGTTGAGTATAACTAAAACAGTAACCACAGAAACCACAACAATAACAATCACACAACAATTCTTATAAAAACACACAATATGCGATGGCTCAACGAAACACGTTCCAATGCGTTGCCGACGCCTATGAGTCTGCCGGTCGAGGCGCGTCTTTGATTTCATTGGTTCTACCGGCGGAGAACAATCAGCCATTATTTCCATCTCTGTCTGTGCTGTTGACCACCGCAAAGCCACAGAAACGGCATATGTCGTACGCTATACGGCTGTACTGGAAGGAAGCCGGGATCGAGCTCTGATCACGTGTTGATCACGCGTATGAGTCATTACAGTTTTAAATAGTTGTAGTATAATCGCGGCGGCAAAGCTAGGGGCAGAAAACTTTGTGATTAGTCGTTTCAGAGGTTCCTGGCCATTTCCAGAAAAACGTTTTTCAGGGTTCGATAATTCGAGGTTTTTGGGTATGCGTGTTGTTGCATCTTCGGTATCAGGAAAACACGGTTTATTACTCTGGAATTTGTAGTCCCGCTAGTATTAACCATCTGTTTGGGATAATATCACACATATTTCCCATAGGATTTACGCCAATGACTGACAAAAGCGGCTAGCCAACCACAAGGGATGGGTCTGATTCCATTACTTTGCCGGCAGCAACCTTGTCAATTGCTATTAAAGGTATATTATAATTTATTGAATATAAGTAATCAGATATGGTGACATTCGGGCGGTAGTTATTAATTGTGGAATATTTAAAGAACGTTCACCCGTATGTGTCTAAAATAAACAAAAGCTTATGAAAAACTGAATCCAAACTTGCACAAATATATGGGGTGTGTGTTTTGAAATTTTTAAGAAAAACTACATTTTGCGTTTTTGACCACCCTGTATGAGCAAAAATTAAAATTCGAAAAAGTAACAAATAAGATAAAAGCTGAGCTGTGAGAGTTTTTTTGAAACAAAATTCAGCCTTCCAAATTTCAAAATGGCGGAATGAGGGGTGGCCGAAGTGGGGGTTGTTCTAGACAAAACACTTTATATCATCTTCTTCTTTTCAATTGGTTTATCCAAATATGCAATAAAATTTGAGGCACTCTAGTTGAAAAATCACAATTTTGATATGTAGGTCAAAATTGGGACACCCTGTATAATGGCTAATATTTTAGGAATGTGCCCTCAAATGTCATGTATTTGCTTATGAGTAATGTTCCGTCCAAGCATGGTTGGACCACCCTGTATATGCCAAAAATTATTAAAATCAGATAAACATACGTAGGTGTTTACCTTTTGACCAAACATCCAATATGACGTTCACAAAAAAAAAAGTAAAGCTGATAATTGAAAGTAATAGATGGAACGTCATATTGAATCTCAATTATTCTATCTTGTAGAGGGGAAAAGGTCTCAACCAAAGTGAGGAACAAATAAAAATACTTTTTGGAGAATACATTTTTTTCGTGCATATCACTTTCCTACTTGCTCCGAATCCCTTACCGTTCAAAGATCCCAATGTGAAGGTCAAAATTGTCGAATTACCTGACCTTCATCAGGAGGTACAGTACAATCAGGAGTTCAAAGAGGGAATTATGAATTGATAACACTGATCAACAGGCAAAAAATATCCTGAATAAAATCAACAAAATATTACTATTTTTAATGTGCTAAAACCGGAATGAAACTTATTTTTTCAATATTAGTTCAAGTTTTAGAGATACGGTAATTATATGTGTTCCTGCTGTGACAGTGTTAATATACTGTAATTCACAAGAATGCACGTGCTACATTTTTATATTCGGCAAGGAAAGATGATGTAATCGGCATGATTGTGTTACGTTATACATACGTGTACATTATATTGTTTTATATTAGCCATTTTTTCCTCAGTTGGCTGACAGCGTTCATGCAAGATGTCTCGAAAGTGTGTAAACAATCCACTTCAGTTTTGTTACGTGTGTGGTGATGTGACTTTTGCGTCTCAGAGACGGTCTATTACTCCACTAATAACAAAGGCATATCAGCTTTATTTCGGTTGTAAACTAGGTGATCAAGACAAACAGTGGGCACCCCACATCTGCTGTAATACATGTGCTTCAAGTCTGAGGAGCTGGTTAAATGGCAAAAAACGGTCAATGCGCTTTGCTGTCCCAATGATTTGGAGAGAGCCTACAAATCATATTACTGATTGTTACTTTTGCATGGTACCTTGTGTTGGACAAGCCACAGGTATGTCCAAGAAAAAAAAATCGGTTATTAACTACCCAAACTAACCATCTGCAATGAGACCTGTGCCTCACAGTGACGAAATTCCTATTCCAAAACCCCCAGAATCCTACACTTGCGAATCAGAAAACGAATCAGATCATGGCGATCGAGTGATTCGTCAGGAAGAAGATATGCCATCAACGTCAAGAGATCCTGATTTTATACCGAGCACGTCATGCCACCAACCGCACAAAATAACACAGTCAGAATTGAATGATCTTGTAAGAGATTTAGAACTTCCAAAATGTAAGGCAGAGTTACTTGGATCAAGACTGCAGCAGTGGAACTTGTTAGAAGACGATGTTTCGGTATGTGTTTTTCGTAAACGCCACAAAGACTTAGAACCATTTTTCAATATGGAGAATAACTTGGTTTTCTGCAGTAACATTAACGGCTTACTGGCGGCTTTAAATATAAACTAAAACCCAGAAGAATGGAGATTGTTTATATACAGTTCAACATTGAGTTTAAAGGCAGTGTTATTGCATATTGGAAATATTTTATCATCTCTTCCTGTAGGGTATGCAGTTCACACGAAAGAATCATATGACAATATGAAGTACCTATTGACATGCATAAAATACGATGAGCACCAATGGCATATTTGTGGCGATTAGAAAGTTGTTACACTTTTACTTGGACTGCAGCTAGGCTACACAAAGTTTTGCTGTTTTTTGTGTGAATGGGACAATCGGGCAAAGGCACTTCATTACACCAGACAAAACTGGCCTGTTCGTCAATTCCTAGAGCCAGGTCAAAAAAATGTACAGCATATGCCATTAGTATATTCGAAAAGAATTTTATTACCACCACTGCATATCAAGCTGGGCCTAATGAAAAACTTTGTCAAGGCATTAGATAGAGATGGGTCAGCTTTTCAATACCTGCGTCAGAAATTTCCAAGACTAAGTGAGGCAAAGGTTAAAGAAGGTATTTTTGTTGGGCCACAGATTCGAAATATTTTGAAAGATACACAGTTTGAAAACACTTTAACAGGTATTGAAAAAACTGCTTGGAATGATTTCCGTCTGGTGGTCACTGATTTCTTGGGAAATAGAAAAGCTGACAACTATAAAACCCCT